CAATATTATGTCTGCATACATTCAATTACTCATTACCTCCCCGTTGGTTCGTGGCCGGTCTTATATATGCAAGACTACACTATATCTAGAAAGATCACGAGATTTAAGGAAAAGACGTGAAAGTTCGAGAATGACGTGGCGTGATACTAGTCACGTGACCTCGATGTCGTCACATTATTAATTTATTTGAATTAAAATTTAACTGTCATTAAGAAGAAATGGTGAACCAGTAAGCTAGTAAGGTAGATTCAACTAACAAATCAATGTTATATAGCACGCAAGATAGGTTACACTATCGAATTTCGTAGGTTTATCACAACTTCAGCGACCAGTATTTCTTTGATTTAACTTTAGTGCTTGCAGTGTTAAGATTAGTTTATTATTCCGATTTAATAGGTTCCACAGTGGGTCAGCGATAAATTCACGAAAGTACATCGCTAAAACCCGGGGTTTGATTACCCACGGCGGACACAACAGACAGCTCAATGTGGTTTTGCTCTAAAAAAAATTATAATAACAATCGAATTAACAGTAATCGATGACAAGTGACTTTCGCGTTGATGCTGAACAAACCCAAAAGAATATGCAAATAAATCAAGTTTTATATTTTATAGTTAGATCGTTATATTACATTAACCACTGGATTATTTTTTAGTTTAGAAATACGGTGGTAGCTTGTTTTGGTCAGACGTTAGTGATTTGCTTCTTAACTTTTTTAAAAGACCTTGAGAGAAAGTGTTACCATGTGTATAGAGCGTCATATAGAAAGCATAAATGCAATTTAATTGGTTTGTTTGTTTTGAATTTCGCGCAAAGCTACACGAGGGCTATCTGCACTAGCCGTCCCTAATTTAGCAGTGTAAGACTAGAGGGAAGGCAGCTAGTCATCACCACCCACCGCCAACTCTTGGGCTACTCTTTTACCAACGAATAATGGGATTGACCGTCACTTATAACGCCCCCACGGCTGAAAGGGCGAGCATGTTTGGTGTGACAGGGATTCGAACCCGCGACCCTCAGATTGCGAGTCGAGTGCCTTAACCACCTGGCCATGCCGGGCACCAATTTAATTGGATAATATGCATTTATTAATGTGCAAAATCTAAAAATAAAATTGAATAAGTTACATTTTAAGAATCTGATAGCCTGAGCTCTGATGTTTCTTGTTCTTCTCTCATAGAATAATAATCTGTTTAGTATAAAATATTGGGTGATTGTACAGTTTGAACAATGATTTATGTACTGTTGCTATCTGATTTTCTGGTATAACAGATACCAAGCATGGAAATATATTGAAACCTTATAGGTCTATTTAAGTGTTTTTACACTCATAAAAAAGAAACCTATCATTCTATAGGTATTTGAAGAACTTGTAG